CATTTTCTCAGTGGCCTTGCTGGCTATCCTTCCGCAGCTTTCTTGTGGCATAGTTATTATAATAGATTGGGAAAAAGCTAAGAGTCAAAGCCAGGGATTAACAGACAAGAGAAACTGTTATGGTCAGGATTTAAGAGCCAGCAAATTGGGCCCAGTTTGCCTCTTGCTGCTATCGGAAACAACAGTTTATGACTCTCCAATCTCAAATCTTAGAATTCAAGTCTCTGGTGCATTACAAAGGGCCTGTATGAAAATGCCTACAGCAGAAGATTCAAAAGTGGGAAAAAAAACCTGGAAATAAATTGCAGGATGCTTCCAGGTTCTTAAATGAGAATGGTCAATTGAGAACTGGAAACACCCCCCAATATTCAGGTTTGTCCTTTCCCCCCATAGATGGCAATCAGGTGGTCCAAAGAAGGGAGAACAATTAACAGCAGTAAAAATTCTCTCTCAGGACATCCATGCTAGCTCATCCTCCCTCCCAGAAAATTCACCTAAGGAAAGAAAGAAAGCTGTTTTTCTTGTATAACTTAAAAGCCTTATTGATGAAGATCAACCTCAGAGAGAACATGTCATCTATATATATAAAAGCGAAATACCACTCACGCATCATCACAAAATCTCCAGAACCGTAAAGCCTACAAACTTGAAATTTGTCATATATGTTCCTCTTGGCTTCTAGATGCTCACTAAGAAAGGATTTCTCAAAATGACCATCAGAGCATTAGTATTTCGTATATTGTTATTAACATGCTCTGATGCTAAGGAGTCCTACTCCCCCTCCCCACCTGCAAAGAAATCTGTTTCAAATGCAAAACACAAGCAGAGGAGAGGAGTTTCAGTTTCACAGCAGCAACCAGCTTTAATATAGAACAGTTGAGCTAAGCCACGCCCAGGCTCCTTACTGTCTTCTTGCTCACACAGCAAATACTGTTTCAGTTTCAGTTTCCAAACAGCCCTCAACTCTCTCACACACTGACAGGATGTTAGCGAAATGAATACCAATCAATACTAGTAGGCAGAGGCACAATTTTTCCCCTTATTTTCCTCCCCAAAAACTAAGCTTCATAGCAAAGCACGGGTATAGAGCTAGTCTATAATATTTAGAAATATCTACTTAGGAATGAATGGCTGAAAGAGTCACAAATTCTAATGCTGTCATGGTTAATCAAGATTTTAACATATGTAAGGAAAATCATTTTCCCGTTCCAACTACATTGGGAGATTAGCTTCAGTGTCTTGTATTGCACCAAACTACAATAGCTTGCTGCAAGACAGGTGGTTCCTGTTCCGAGTCTGAGTCTATCAAGCACCAGGCAGATGTCTTAAAAACTTTCCCATCTGCTTTTCCTTTTCTGTTTGGTTTCACTGTCATCTGTCTCAAGGTTGAGCTTATGGTTTTAAGTACAGGTAGCCCTCAACTTACATCAGTTCATTTAGTGACCGGTTCAAAGTTACAACGGCACTGAAAAATGTGACTTATGACCGTTTTTCACAGCTACGACCTTTTTGCAGCATCCCCATGATCCTGTAATCAAAATTCAGATGCTGACTCATATTTATGACGGATGCATTGTCCCCGATTCATGTGATTCCCTTTTGCGACTTTCTGACAAGCAAAGTCAGTGAGGCAGCCAGATTCACTGAACAACCGGGTTACTAACTTATTAACTGCAGTGATTCACATAACGATGGCAAGAAAGGTCGTAAAATGGGACAAAACTCACTTAAGAGATGTTTCACTTAATAACAGAACTGGGCTCAATTGTGGTCGTAAGTCAAGGGCCACCTGTAATAATCTGTTCTGTTACCCACTAGGCTGTGTTTTTAAACCTGAGCATTTGTGATGATTGTGTTGTGCAATGAATGGGGGAGCAGGAGGAAAATTCAGGTGGCAAGGGTTTCAGACACTCAGAAATATGATTATTTTGTTTTGAAACAGCCTGGTGTTTTCTTGTGCACTCATAATTGGGCACTGCAGTTCACATAGCCAGGGATAAAGGCCACATTTGCACACTTGGCTGCCGAAGAACTAAATATTAATGTAAATGTAACATGGTATACAATAATACCCTAAGCAAGTGCTGCTTTGGGTTTCAGTATCAGAGATAAACACTTTTGTTGTGTGCATCTAAAGATGCTTTTCTAAGAGCTGCATCACTGCCACAATGTCAAGCTCATTTGGTGCACACATGTTCCTGCACCTGTGTTAAATTTTGGAATTTGTGATACATGGATGGCATGAATGGGTTGTTTAAAAGTGTAGCTTCACTTAATAATCTGAGCCTGCCCTTTGAGCAATCTTTCTTTTTTTTTCTGGATTCTTCATAATCCCTGAAAGCAAACATTTGTTTTAGCAGATTGATTACAGCAAAAGACACAGAAATCTGATTTTATTTTTAATCAGTGGCTGCAAATGTCTGGGCAGATTCCAGCCACAAGATTAGAACAGGATTGCAGGATTGCCTGCAGCTTCATGCAATTGAAAGTTCAAACTGAAGCTGCTCTTGGCTCTAGGTCAAAGAATGATCTGTGTAGGATTTACTTGAGGCTTAGAGTAATAAAGCTGTAGTTCGAGCTCAGAGATGCAATGTAGATTTCTTCTGCAGCCCTGTTGTTTATAAGAGTTTGCAAAGATGAATTCCAGCCTGTTCAGAGTTCTGATTGGGTAACTTTGGGGATGCTCTCCAAGGTCTGTTGCAAAACTAAAATGTTCCTTTTTCACTTAGTTTTCTGGCATAGTTGGATCAGCAAATGTGGCCAGTGTGAGCAATAATGAGTACAGTTTCTAAAATACTTGGAAAAAGACATTGATTTTCAAGTACATGGGGTCATTATTCTCATTTTGTGCAGCCGAGCCATAATACCACAACACTGTCCCCTTTTTATCTCACATTTACTGTTTGTGCAAATGTGGAGTATTATGTTTCTTCTTGGAAAACCAATGGCAACCAAATATCAGTTGTAAAGAGGGAGCATGGCTTTGGATGGAAAGAACGAAAAGGCGTGAACAAAACCAGAAAAGTTTGGACTTTAAAAACCACAAAGTATGATCATTTTTACTTTCTGGCTGGAGACTGTGCTCATAATCAGCCAAGATTGCCCATGGCGAAGGGGAGAAACCTAATCCACATTAAAACAGTGCCATTTATTAGATCTTCTGAAAGCTTAAAAGAAATCATAAGCTCCTGGAAACTTTGCGAACTTCATGCTATTCTTGTATTCTGATAGACACAATGCATTCCAAAATTTACAAAAAGAAGATAATTATTTTGGAATATATCTATGCCTCCATAAAGTTGTTCATGAACCCACTAGAATATAATAAACTATCTTAAAAGAGATCCTTAGTCCACACAGCGCAGTGTTATCTACAAGTAATTCTCAACTTGAAAATCACAGTTGGAGTCAGAATTTCCATTGCAAAAGCAAGCTACTTGTTAAAAGAATTTTACAGACTTTTTTGCTACAGTTTTTAAGTGAATCACATTCATTGTTAAGTGAATCATGGGATTGTTAAGTGAATCCAGCTTCCCACATTAACTTTTCTTATTGGAAAGCAGCTGAGAAAGTGACAAATGGTGAGGATGTGACCTTGGGACACTACAATGGTTGTAAATGCATGCAGATTTTCAAGTGCCTGAATTTTGATGACATGATTGTGGGATGGCTATGATAGTCACAAGTGTGAAGACTGGTTGTAAGTCACTTTTTTCAGTGCTGTTGTAACTTTGAACAGTCATGTAAGTGCAGGACAACCTGTATTTTGCTAATAAAGTAGCTTTCCGAGATTCATCTTTCTGAGTCTTCCTGATAATTTTCTTAGCTGATAAAACCAAGTGCTAATCTCGAGCCTCTGTATTCAAAAACATGGTCCTATCACTCAGATGTGGCCTGCTCTCAGAATGTCCAATTCAGCCTAGAATGGCTTTCCAGTCAAGTGGCAGAACTGGAGCTACTGAAGGCATCTTCAAGTCTGACTGGAACATTTCACATTCTTATTACCTGATGATTGCAGGGCCCATTATAGAAGTCGGGTCTTTATGCCTGAAGGAAATTTCTGAGAGTTAGTATATCTAATGTAGGATGTCAGTATTCTTGAAGCACTTCAGCAAGGAGAGTATTTTTAGAAGATAGTTCAAGAGTCAGTCTGCTTCATATTAGTATCTAGCGATTAAAGGAAGATACAACCATTCATTCTCACTAAAGGAAGCAGCCTATTTACTCTGCATTTTTGCAGCACACTGTTTCAGGCCAATTTGCTCAGTTGTTTGCACATTGATGATTTCACCATTAACAGTACTTCTGCTGGGATATATGTCTTTCACCTGTCCATTTTCTGGGAAGCATGGGAGATTTCTAAGGTTAGCCTATTTAGTCTCACTGTTGCCTCTTCAAGGCAAGGAAGTTTCAAGACCCACTCAGTATAATTAGAATGAAAGGTCCCAACTTGTAGAAGGTTGGTTTATCATACCTTGAAAGATGGCATGTCCATCCATTTACTGAGAATTCTTATGCCAAAAGAAATTGCTAACTTCATGATATTTCCCTGCCATAGTACTAGATCAGATATAACATTGTTCTGGCTCGGTTTTGGGAATTTTCCTAGGTTAATAGATACCCTTGAGATGTATTGTGACTCCATCGTCTTTAGGCATGACTAGCCATGCTATCTGGGATTACAGAAGTCAAATTTCAATATATTTTAAGAACAGCATCTTGATGACAAACATACTGAATGCAGCTAACCAATTGTTCCTTTGAGTCTATTCTCATCATAGACAGTATGTAGCCTGAAGGAAATTTTGGAGGACCAATTTGATTTCCACAAAGTTCTGCCTTCTCTTTTTTGTTGAGCCTAGCACAACCTGGTGTTCTTAGCTACTTATAAAAAAATTTGATGAAGGCTTTGGTTTAACTCTGTGTTATTAAGATTAAGCAAATGACAGTGTCTTGTTTTCATCTTTTCATTAAAGTTCTGTTTGTTTGCTCTGTCCCAGATTTCCCAATCCTTGGCACCCTCCAGATGGATAGATGTCAACTCTCCAAAATCTCAGCAATCACCACACTTCTGCGAGTTGAGGTCCACATATCTGGAAGGTCCCCAGGCTGGGGAAAGCTGCTGGAGCTGATTATCTATTCTGTCTCACTTGAAGTTTAATTGGAAGGTAAGTTTTTGAACCATAACAATTTTTATTCCGTGCCTCTTTTTTTCCCATATTCACCATATGATTACAGTGTGGTAAAATATATGCCGTATCAAGAGCCCAGTTATAACTGGTTCCAAAGGCTGAACAGTTGCTATGGCCCATTTGTTATGGAGAATAGTAACGGAGCTCTAGTATCATTATCTAGATTTTCTTTTCTCAACAGATCAAGAGATAGCAACTTTGTGATTTGTGAGCGCTTTTTTGTTTGTTTGCTGATTTCTAGAAAAAATGTGATTTGCCTAATGACCACAGTGATTCACTTAAAGAATTCCATAAAATTGTCATAAAAATTGAAACTTAAGGCTCAACAAGTTATGACAGAAATTACAGTCCCGATTGTGGTGATAAGTTGAGGACTATCTGTATCTCCACCTTCTCGTTTTAAGAACTCCAAAGACATCTAGTTGGCCACTTTCCAAAGCAAAATTGTAGACTAAGATGGATATACCTTGACCTTCCACCACCCCCCATCCTCCCCCCGAAAGTTCTTATAACAGCTGATTCCTTTTTACAGGAAAGGGTTTTATTTTTTAAATAAGCAAACAGGGTCAATTTCAGTTGGTTTTGATTACAGTTCCCACCAGTCCATACCACCAGAGCCAGTGGTCAGGAATGATGAGAATTGTTTAAAACCTCTGAGCAAACATTGACTGACCTCTCTGGACAGTCAAAAGCAGGAAGACTAATCCATTGCCAACAGAAAATTAGTTAACCCATTGAAAATCCACTGAAATGGACAATTGTATTATTCTAGGGAGAAGTGATAAAATCACTTGAAGTGAGTTCCTGCAGAATTTGTCCAATTAGGGCCACTACTGACAAGGATCACAATCCCCTCTGAAATGGGGTACCAAGTTATTTAATCCATGTTTCTCACAGCATGCCGGTTAATCCCTTGTTGCAAAAAATCTACTTTACAGTTTGAAGCATCTTGAGTAAAATCTTAACCCAATTCATCACTCCATCATGCCCATTCCTTCAATATGGATAGACCTCTTGATCAAAGGTACCATTTTCGTAGGATTAAGAAATGGGGAACAACATCAAAACACTGAAGCTGACCACGATTTCACAGCTTCTGAGATCATACCAGTTGGACAATGTCTGCCCAATCACAGCTATGTCAGATGGAAACAAATCACGTTTAAATCATAGTTTCTAAATAGCTATATCCTATCAATTATGATAGGTGGGATGAAGAATACCTAGGAAAGTGGTTGAAGATAGAGGAGGTCATGGGTCTTTATGGGAGATGGTGCATCGCGATCAAAGTTGCATGTTTTGCTTGTGTCAGTTGCCATACTTGTAAAAAAGGGGCTATAACAATCATGAATCTGTGCTTGTCATCTTGCGGATTTTGATACACACATACAGGGGGAATTTACTAGGAAAAGAAAGCAGACAATTGCATCATTGATGGTATAGCACATTGCATGACACTTTTTATTCTGCAATGCAAAAGGAAGGGTCGGTAGCTATTTTCTTATTTATTTATTAAATTTATATGCCACTCATCTCATTCTGCAAAGTGGCTTTGACTTTTTTCTCCCAATGGTTGTGCTTTTCTCTCTCTCCAAGAGTTCAAGGAGGTATATCCTGTGTCTTTCTTTCTTTTTTTTCCTGTGTGAAATAACTTAGAGATGTAGGTTAGACTGAAAGGGAGAATATCAAGAAGTTTTCAGTTTCTCTCTTCGGCAACTACAACAGCTAGCTTATCTTAGAATTTTTTATGGAGCAAATAATTAAACTCCAGTAGTTTCATTTTTAAAATAATCATTATCATCCTTCTAGATTACCATTATGTTTAAATTTTGCATAGAATGAATAACTGCATCTTTAAATATAGTTTTCATTATTTTTGTTAGCAGTTTTAAATCCTTTGTAAAAGAAATGTAGTAGAAATATTTTAAGCCTGTAAAAATCAGGTGCTTGGGGTGATGTTTTTGTTTTAGTATAAAAGCATTTTATTTCAATTTTACCTACTATTTTCACCTGTTCCTTTAACCCTTATCTTTTCCCCTGCACTCACACTGCAGAATTTACTCTCTGAGGTTAACTTGGGCTATCTGATACAAGTAAAATATATGGCTCTTAGGCAACTGGGCCTTGAGAGATAACTCTTGCTTACTTAGCTCTTTGTTTTAAAATAGCATTGATAATCTTCTCCAACCTAGAGCCCTCCACATATGTTTGATTACAACTCCCATAATGATAGTTAGGAAAGGCGATATTAAAAATGGGACTTTGATTCTGCTCTCCTAGCCTAACTTACAGCGGTGCTTCTAAAGGAGACACATTTCCTAACTGGCATTGCAACACTCGGCTCATTATCTCCCCGGCCTTGTGCAAACATCAGAGAATTAATCACTGGTGAATTATTACCTAGTCATTTCTGTTATTCAGGGTGTCTGGAACAGAAGGGCTCTTTGCTTCCAATTCATCACCGCTGATCATTAAGGTGGAAGGATATATTTTGTAGCAACCAGATGGATGGGCAGGTTAGGATCCTTTTAAAAATATGTGGCTACTGTCTGTGATATCTTGGCCCCAAGTGACAATGTCGGTTTGTTGCATTCAGTATTGTGTAGAGTGATTTGTAGCTGTCCTCCAGGATTGCATTTGCAATCTTTCTTGGGTTTCTTATTGCACCTGGGATATTCCCCAAACAAAGGTTGTATTCTGAAATTACAGCTTTTTCCCTCCTCTGTGTTTTTTTGCCTTTGGCTTCTCTTCCCATTTCCTACAGATTCCACAACATTTTTCCCTTCTGTTTCCTGGCTTGCAACATCTATGTGTTTGGATGGGGGAATCAAAAGTATTCTCCATCTTGGTCTTTGAGAATATGTTTTCAAAATAATAAAGATTCAAGTGCTTTTAAGTATGAATATATCTTTTTAAAACTGCCGATATATATTCATGGCCTTGGACTTTTATATTATAGAACCAGGGATGAAGAAAAGAAAGCTGTGCTTAATTTGTAGCATTCTGTCAAGCATTGAAAACACTTATAGACTACTTAATCAACAAAAAGAGGGAACTCAGTAGCATAATTTATAACTAAATAAAGCAATGTGGGAGTACATTTTTAATACTTTTGTTAATTGGAGCCTTAGAAATGAGATGTTTAGCATAGTGCGGTGGCAGACAAATAATACTCTTACATCATCATGAATTATCACATGGCACAGCTTTTCAACTTTCCCCCCTTTTTAACCATAAGTGTCTCTTATGGCTTGAAAATACTGAATGGGCATAGCATATTTCTATTATGCCTTGTTTTGGAGAAGAAATGGAGAATTTGCAATTATCCTAATTTGTGGTTGAACTGCAACCCACAACAACCATTAGGCATACTGGCTGGAGCCACTGGGAGTTGTAATTCAGCAACATCTGGAGGGATACATTTGTCTGACCTTTGCTTTGAAGCAGTTAGTGAGCTTTAAGCATGAGGCAGAGGCTGTGCATGATTCAGGCAGCCTGGCTGCTGGTGTATATTTATGTAGCAATTGATATGCAATCTACACTGCTGTTATCATGATGCTAAAGATTAGTGTGTTTGTTGATATAAACCAGTCTTTCTCAACTTTAGGGACTGTAAGATGTGTGGACTTCAAGTCCCAGAAGCCTCCAGTTAGCATGTTGGCCATCTAACGTTCATAAGGCATCCACTGGGATTTAACAGTATACAGATACTGTAAATAAAGAGATCCTCCCTCTACAGTCTTGGATTATCAACTCTATAAAGTGACTAGGCTGCAATTAAGACTTTAATCTTGGATTCGTAGGGTGTTTAAAAAATAAAAAAGCATATTTCTTCTTTACATACCCATCTCTGATTATGACCACTTGGAGATAGGGTGTAAGGTACAGGCCAAGCAGAGATAGATGTTCCAGAAGATTCATCTATTATTGTTACTATTTTAATTTATATCCATTCTTTCTTCATGGATGAAGTTCTAGACAGCCAACAACAATAAAAACAAAAGCATAAGTACAGTATTAAGGTGGTTATAAAAAAAATAAGTTTCAATAAAAAAGGGCATGGTTAAAGAGGAAGGACTTTGCCTCCTTCAAGTGGCCAACACGGGTGGGATGCAAATATTTTTACTATTGATTCTGTGGGCGTGGCTAGGTGGGCGTGGCCATGTGACTGGGTGGGCGTGGGTTCTTTTTTTTTTTGCAGCATCTCCACCCCCACCCCCACCCATGTCCCTTTTTTTGCCTCCTGGGCCTCAGGGAAGCCTCCTGGGAGGAAAAATGGCCTCGCAGGAGACTTCCCTGAGGCCCAGAAGGCCAAAAACAGAGTGCGGAGAGGCCATGCAGCACCCCTCTGCACTCCATTTTTTGCCTTCTGGGCCTCAGGGAAGCCTCCTGGGCGAAGCAGTAAGACAGTGAGGGCACAGTCCCAGCACAGCTGATCGTCAGAACAGCTGATCGTCAGGAGGAGAAAAAAATATTGGTTCAGCCAAACCAGTAGCTGTTTTTTACTACCGGTTCAGCCGAACTGTAACATTTTTTACTACAGGTTCTCCCGAACAGGGCAGAACCGGTAGAATACCATCACTGGGTCAAGATCTATGGATGTGTTGGAGGAATGTAAAGATTCATTCCAGAGGAGTAAGAGGCAGCTCAGCTCAGATACTATGTGTGAAAGAAAGAGAATGAAGACAACCCCTCCCTAATAGTTCACAGAATATGTTGTGTATGCAAATAGCAGGTTGGTCAGTCTGGAAAGAGTTTGTTCTGTTGGTGTGAAACAATAAAAAAATTCAGCTTGGAAGAATGGCCATAATTCTCGACTGGTGACCACAATTGAGCCAAACATTTCTGTTGTTAAGCAGGGCAGTTGTTAAGTGAGTTTTGTTCCATTTACAACCTTTTTGCCACGGTTGTTAAGTGAATCATCCAATCATTAAGTGAATCTGGCTTCCTCCATTGACTTTGCTTGTCAGAAACTG